TCAGGAAGGTGTGAGGAGGAGGGGGAGGTGGGGGAGGGGCTGGAAGGGGGGGCGGCCAACATCTCCTCCCGGCAGCTCTTTGTGGGAACTGGATTCTGGAACTTCTGGAATGTGGGGGAGCAGCAGCACGTGCATCCTGGCCTGTGTGGGGGTGATCTGGCTTCCCTTCTAGCTGCTGTCTTGAGGACCTTCCGGTGACAGGTGTGGCAGGGCTATACTCCATCCCACCCCCCGCCGGTTCTGTGGGGGGACTTCGTGAGCGCTGACCTTGAGTGACCCCACCTGTGACCAATTCTCTTCTGCCTCTTGGGGGACAGGGAGGGTGCCCTAGGGAATAAAGGACTCCAGTGAAACTTGAATTTCAGAGAAATAATGAAGCATTTTTAGTACTGTGTAAGTAGGTCCCAATACTGCATGGGATATACTTACACTAAACTTTATTCATTGTTTTTCTGAAGTTCCATGTTAACTGGGCGTCCAGGTGGACATCACGCAGAGCAAAGCGGGGTGCGCGGGACCCTATGTGCCCTCAGAGGCACCTGCTGGGCCGGGCCTGCGTGCTCCTGCACTCTGCCTGCCTCCCCTCCACCCTGGCATGACACTTAGTATTTAGGAGATTTGGCAGATGAGGAAATCGGGCTCGGGCAAGAGAAGGGCCTGTTGGCGTCCATGCCACAGGGGGTGGAGCTGTGGGCAGATCAGCCCCTTCGGCTCCTGTGCTGAAGCCAGTTCACAGCCCTGCTCGGCAACCTTGCCCCTGCCACCCCCAGATGGCCCTGGCAGGCCTTTCCCGGGAGCATGAGGCCCTCTGTCCTTGGCCACTGGCCCCGTGTTGTCCTTGGGTCTGTGCCCCTGTGGCAGCGAGCCCCGCTCCCTCTCCCAGGCTCAGACCAACCCCGTGGGTCCCTTGCAGACCCCGGACATGGGGTCATGCTCAAGACTCGGAGTCAGGGACCCTGCACCTGGGCTCTGAGGGACAGAAGCTGCCCCATGGCCCCGGGAAAGGCCCGCAGGCTGTGAAAATCAAGTTGGTAGCAGTGGCTGCTGACTTTTGAAGGGCAGGGGCCACCTCGGCTCCCGACACAGGGCTGCCCCGGCCGTGCAGGAGGCCTGCCCTGGAGACCGGGTATAGCTTCTACTGGACAAGAAACTCTGAAAGCCCATGGGGTAGAGGGCAGGAGTGGGTGGGTGGCCGGCAGCCCGATTTTCTCGAAGCCTCTGTCTGCCACTGGATTGCGCAGCCTGTGTTCTCCCTGGAAGTGGGGGCTAGAGGACCTTCTTCCCCGGGGCTGTTCTTGGGTCTGGCTAGGTACACGGATGCTGTTGTCCTGGGGTCCAGGCCAGGAGAGGGCCAGAGACTTGGCCTCCAGGGGCGCACGTGTCTCTACTGGAAATCGGCTCATTCCTTACCCACCGAGGGGCCCACAGGACGGAGCGTAAGCCCAAGGACTTGGGTGCCAGAACACCTGGGTTCAAAGTGCAGCTCCGTCCCTTCCCCCCGTGGTACCTGGGTCAGGCCACCAGCGCCCCGCGCCTCGGTCTGCTCATCGTAAAGTGGGGATGGGGCAGTAGCCACTCACGACTGCCCGGCGGCCCCACCCCCGCCGGCCAGGGAGGGGGTGGGTGTCCAGCGTGGGCGGGTGCGCGGGTGTCGAGCGTGGGGAGGCGAGGCGGGTGTCGAGCGCGGGCGCGCAGGTGTCGAGTGGGGCAGGCGAGTGTCGAGTACGGGGGGCGGGGGCGGGGGCGGGTGCCAGCGCGGGCACGCGGGTGTGGAGCGCGGGCACGCGCTTAGGGCACTCCCCTGCGCCGCAGGCATGTCCGACTTCAACTACCTGCACAGCAACTGCTTCGAGATCACGGTGGAGCTGGGCTGCGTCAAGTTCCCCCCGGAGGAGGCCCTCTACACGATCTGGCAGCACAACAAGGAGCCCCTCCTGAACTTCGTGGAGATGGTGAGTCCCCTGCGGCTTCGCTCCGCCAGCCTGAACGGCGCTGTGGGGCGGACTGGGTGCGCGGCCGCGCCGACTTGTGTGTTGGCTAGCCGTCCATCCGGTCACTGGCCACCTCCTGTCGGCCAGCCCTGGGGGTGCTTGGGACAGCAGGGGGTGTGCGTTGGGCCCCCCAGGGTAGCGAGGCTCTCAGGGCCTAAAGGGGCACCACGGAACAGGGAGGATGCAGGGATCGAAGGCGGCCGAGGGATGGCACCTGACTCAGCCTTGGAGACCATGGAGGTGGCAGAGGAGGTGGCACCCGGGCTGCGTTGTGACGAAGTGGGAGGAACCAGGCAATGGGAGAGCTCAGGCAGTGGGGACGGCCTGGGAGGGTCCCCAGGCCACAGTGAGGAGCGTGGGTGCGGGAATGGACTGGGCACTGGGTGGGGGGAGGCCTCAGGGTGATGCTCTGCGCGGCGGGGCCTGGAGCATGTCTGCGCCTCGGGCTCAGAGGGAAGGGCACTGGCTGCTGGCGGAGGGGTGGGGCAGCCGGACTGAGGGGTAACTGCTGTCCTGGGGCCACGGTCACCCAGAAATAGGTGGTGGTGCTGAGCAGAAGCCACTGGGAACGTGTCTAGAACAATCGTCAGTGGACCCCGGGAGTGGTCCCCCAGCAGCGTGGTGACCGCGGCCCGTGCGTCTCCCAGTCCTACCTGCCAGTGTGGCTCACAGAGGTGGTCTGAGGGCGGTAACCCCATGGGACAGGCACGCAAGGGGTGAGGCGGAACCTAGCATGGCCCTGCAGACGCCCTGGTGAGCATTTTCGAGACCCAGGTGACTCACACATTGGCACGTGTCCCCAGAAGAAGCAGGCCCTGAGGGAGGGACAGGATGGCCCGAAGGGGACAGTGAGGGGATGTACGTGCGTAGCACGTTACAGTTGGCACCCCCCACCTACGGCCTTCAATCCTGACAGCAGTCCTGGCTGTTAGAAGGGGCTGCCCCATTTTGTGCGTCGAGGGACAGGTGCTAGGGAAGGACGGTGCTGGCCTGGGGCTGCTGGGTCACTCGTGGGCTCCCAGGCCTGGCTCTCAGCAGCCACGAGAAAACCAGAGGAGGAGACAGAGGGTCAGATAGTGACAGGGCCTGCCCCGTGTCGCCCAGTGACTGCCCAGAGCTCAGAGCTCACACTCTGATCTGCCTGCCCCAAACCTCAGTTCTGCCAATGAATCCTTTCTAGAAAGATCAGGAACCTTCCTCCAGGCAAGAACCAAGCAGAGCCTCCTGGGTCAGCAGCTGCCACTGTCGGATAAAAAGCAAAGCCCAGATAAGAGCTGGACGTTGTTAGTGTTGTTCGAGCTTCTGTTTTATGGCTGTGCCCGCGACCTCTTGCTGTGTGGGGCAGGTCATCATTCAGTAATGGGTCTGGGCCAGACCCCGCGCTCATTTCATTTTACGGCTGTCTGGTGAAAATTAGTTTTAAGGAGCCTTAAATGGGGCTGGGATTGCTCTGTGGATATTGTATGTGAGGTCTTGGGGTATAAAGATTTAATAGTGAGCACGGAAGGGTGGCAGGCGGGTCGTGAAGCCGGGTGTGGCTGGCCCCTGAGGACGAGGCCCCAGGAAGGCCGTGCTGGGGCTTCTGATAAGGATCGAGTCTGTCATGGCCCATGGAGGCCTTCTTCACAGTGATGCTGACCAGACTTTGGGTGGGTGTCTGCATCTCCCTGGGTTGGGAAGGGAGGGGCGTGCACACCACGTCTCCTTCCCTGCCGGAGAGCTGCACGTCCCGGGTCTGCAGGAAGGTGATTCCTCAGCTCAAAAGCAAGGGCAGAACAAAGTTTAGCCTGTGAAAGCTGACATGAAATGAGACCCTACTATGTGTCTGGCCTCTCCCCTAGGTTGTGGGGAGGAGGGCAGACAGTGACATTACGGTGAAATCAGGGCTGGGAGTGTGGAAGCCCAACACTGGGGACCCCGGAGGAGGACCCTGATGTGGCTGGTCATCAAGGAGGGCTTCCTGGAGGAAGAGGAGTGTGGGGGAGAGGAATTGGTTGGTTCTGAGCAGAGCAGGGGCAGGATGGGGGATCGGAGGTCTGGGGCAGCACTGCAGGTGTGGGGGACAGCCTCCCGGGAGAGAAGAGTCTCTCTGCACTGTCTCCCTTCCCACCCAGTCACCTTGGCCTCGTTTGACATGACCCGTGGGCCCCAAGTTGTTTGCAGTCTAATAGAGCAAGGGCGGGTTGGCTTGTTTATTGTTGACATTTTTAGGAGAAGGAGTGTGAACAGGGCCAAGCAGTTCTGACGGGGCCCTGCTTGGGATGCAGCTTCCTCACCTGAAGGTATCCGCTCAGAGCGGGCAGTGTCTAGACCGGGACCTACCTTGAGTCCCGGCTCTGCTGTGCGCCATTCTCCAGCAACACCCGAGGCCCATTTTACAGATGGGAGATGTGCTGAGATGCAGGGTAGCTTGTCCAAGACCAGAGAGTGGTTGATGCCTCGGCTGGGACTGACACGAGGGTCCAAACCCTGGGTCCATGTCCTCCCAGTGCCCACGCTCAGGGAAGAGCAGCCACACCGACCTGCTCTACATGTGAAGGGGGAGCTGAGATGAGCTCCGGGGTTTTCTGCTCAGCACCCCTGGCCCAGGAGAGACGGCTGGGTGGACCCTCGAGCAGAACTGCAGGGTCATGCGCAAGCCCAGAGGGGGGCTCTGAGGATAGATGAATGGGAGCTGGCTGGGCTAGGCCGCCCGTCCTCTGGAGAGCATGCACCATATCCACGCCCTCTCTCTCCCTCTCTTCAGGTGCACCGCGGCATCAAAGGTGTGGTGATGGACAAATTTGGCAAGCCGGTCAAAAACGCCCGGATTTTGGTCAAGGGCATCCGCCATGACATCACCACAGGTGAGCACCTTCCTGGGGCCTGAGTCATGGTGGCTGGCTCCCGCAAGCGGTCACTTGGCCCACTGCCCCAAGGGGCTGCTCCACTTATCCTCCACGGGTTTTGAGGGATGAATAGGAGTTGGGCTGAGGAAGCAGTGGGAAGGGTGCTCCAGGCCAGTACAGAGGCGGGTGCTTGCCCTCCAGGCTGATGCCCCTCGGGCCCCCAAGTCTCGGCACCTCAAGCCCGAATGTGAGCCTAGGTCTGAGAATCACTTGTGTTCTGTTTGTTCACAGCCCCAGATGGCGACTACTGGAGACTGCTACCTTCGGGGTCCCACATCGTCATAGCTCAGGCCCCCGGCTACTCCAAGGTCATCAAGAAGGTCACCATCCCTGCCCGGATGAAGAGGGCTGGCCGTGTGGACTTCATTCTCCAGCCTCTGGGCACCGGACCCAAGAAGCTTCTCCTCGGGCTACGGAGAAATGGGTCTGGGCCCCGAGACCCGCCGGGAGGTGCCAGCCCATATGGGGAGCCCGAGGAGCCGGGCTGGGAGCCCCTCGGGGGACGGAGGCAGCCCTCTGAGGGTGGGAGCAAGCCGTGGTGGTGGTCCTACTTCACGTCCGTGAGTCAGCACAAGCCGCGCTGGCTGCTCAAGTACTAGCCTCCCCCCACCCTCTGGCCCAGAGGCTCCAGGCTCTTGATTTTGTCTTCAGAAGACACCCTGTAAAGCTGTTTCTGTTTTATTAAAGTCGTTTTATTTACTGTCGGCCATGGTGAGAGGTTCTGGGCATGAGGCACGCCGGCCTCGTCCACCCGGATGGCCCCGGGGCAGGTGGTCCCATGGGCAGCCAGCTGTGGGGTGGACCCTGAGGCCCCAAAGCAAGAGGGGCCCTCTACCTTACAGATGGGGACACTGAGGCTCCCAGGGAGGTGACACATGGGGAGGGAGGTGCAGGGCCAGCCGGGAGCAGAGACTCTGGGAGTATGTGGAGGTAGGATGCAAAGGAGAAAGTTTTCAGGAGAGCCTGGCTGGGAGGAGTGGGGGGGTGGGCAGCAGGTGACCTCAAGGGCAGGAGAGCTGGTGAGAGCTCAGGGACCATAGCATCACCCAAGGGTCACACTTGGCGGCTCCTGGGCTTTGATGGGGCCCTACCTCCAAGACGAAGCATCTCCCTTGGCTCCTTTCTCAACCTTATGATAGCACCAACACAGGTCCAGAGACCCACCCCCAGGCCTCAGACTCCCCACAAGACTCCTCCTGGCCCATCTCTCTATAGTCAGGCAGGTCCGTGGGTCCTAGGATCCCTGAGGCAGGGAGACATGCGGCCCATCAGAGAACACTGGCAAAGAAGGTGTGCCAGTGAGCTAGGGCTGTGTAACAACATGCCACAGGCTGGGGGCTCGAGCCACAGGCATTTGTTTCCTCACCGTCCTGGAAGCTGGACGCCCAAGGTCAAGGTGTAGACAGGGGTGGTGCCCTCTGAGGCCACGAGGGAAGGATGCGCGCCAGCCCTGTGTCCTTGGCTCATAGACGGCTGGCTTCTCCCCGCATCCGCGGGCCATCTTCTGTCAATGCTTGTCTGCCTTTCTTTCCCGCTTGCCCGCTTATAAGGACACCAGTCATATTGGATCAGGGCTACCCCAACGGCCTCATCTTAGTTTGATCACTTCTAGGAAGACACCCATCTCCAAATACAGTCAGGTTCACAGATACTGGGGGTGAGGAATTCAACACATACCTTCTGGGGGAACGCAGTTCAACGCATCATCGAAGACTCGTCTGCAACGCGGCAGCTTCCCGGCTGCTCCCGGCTGCGCCACTGGGGCCCCCACCCAGAGGGGGATCCCATGTGAGCAGAGCCTTGACCCCAGCTGACCCCCACCATGACCCCTACCAGCACATCAGCACGGTCTTACGGCTGGCCTGGCCTCTGCCATCTCAGAAGGCTTCCGGGCAAGCTGAGAGGAGCAGGTGCGCGCCCAGCACCAGGGGGTGGGGTCTGCGGAGCGGGGGCGCGGGCGTGCTCACGTCCTCAGTCTGGCAGGGGCACAGCGGCTCACAAAACGAGCATGTGTATATCGGTCATGATCTGGAGTGTTTGTCAGACATCCTTCGGGGCTCTCGACCCTACCTTCACCCCTGTGTCCAGTGGTTCTGAAGGTCATCATGGATTTGGCTCTACTGTGTACCAGGTCTGCGTGGAGCAGACCGCTCTTCCCGATTTACTGGTGTGGGTGCAGCCCAGAGAGCTTGCACCGCTGGCCCGGGACCTCGGAGCGTGTTGCTGGCAGCTCAGGGCCTCCTGCAGGACGACTGTGTGAAGCTCCTGCTGTCCGCAGCTGTCTGGAGAAGAGCCTATCGGAGTGGGCATGAAGGCCAAGAGCTCAGCGGGGCCCCTGTTCGTTCCAGGAGCTGAGGCCTAGGCCCCAGTGAGGGGGTGAGGATGGGGATGGCCAGGATGAGGAGAGAGATGGCCTGAGAGGTGTGGGGGTGGCTGTGGGCAGTGGACCATGGCAGTGGGAGGGTCAAGTGGGGACAGGTTGGGCTCCCTATTTCTGGCCAACAGGGGACCATTTTGGTGGCTCCTATGATCTTTTCTTTTGATAGAACTTAGGACAGAGCCCCACATGGAGGAGGCTAGAAGCTAAGGTCCACCTGCTGTGTTCACCGTGAGACTGAAGGGGATGTCAGAACGGGGGGGGACCTCGGGATTCAGTGAGAAGCAGGGAGCCTCCCCAGGGCCCACGGGGCAGCTCTGGCTGCGGGAGCCGGGTTAGCTCTCCTCCAGGGGGTCGGCTCTCTGCACGCTGGTAGGAGGGGGTTCCAAAGGGAGCGTGCACGCTCCGGGGTGTCGCTGCTGGTGGGCGTCCTTACAAAAGAGCTGGCAGTTGAATCTGGAGGTAGGGAAAGGGAAGGTGGCCCAGCATCACTCTCAGATGCTGCCGAGGAGAACAGGAGGGTGAACAGCATCACGAGCCACAGCAGAAGTGAGGAACAGGCAAAAAATGCCACAGTAAGGAAAATAGAATGAATGCACAAGAACACAGAAGGAATAAAATGCACACCACCAGAAATGTGCATGAGCTGAATCCTCCACTAAGAAAGCAGAGACCACCAATTTGAGTTACCAAAAAAAAAAAAAAAAAAAAAGGCAGTGTGTACTTCAAGGAAGCATGCTTGAAAGCAAGTGATACAGGACGCGAAGAGAAGCCAAGAAATGCAGACACCCGGACGACGAGGGCTTCATCGGTAGCAGAGGAGGTGGGACTGGGGATCAAACACAGTAAATGGGAGAGAAAGACGTTGGAGGATCGAACAATTTATGACTAAGATAAAATAATAAACCTGCATTATACACTAATCAACTTAGTGGCTAACGATGTAAAGCCAAGTCATTTAAAAATACAAGCAGAATTCCTGTAGAAACTGCAATGTGTCATTTTGGGAAGCAGACCAGTCCAGTGGCTCAGTCAGTCAGCCGGGTTTTAGAGAAACAGAGTCACGCACGGAACCAGCAAACTGAGTTTAACGAATGTGTACGAGGTATTGCTTACTTCAAGTGGAGAGTGCACATTCCTCCCAAGACCCACTGAGCATTTGTAAAAATTGATAATATGCTTCATCTCAAAGAACACCTTAAGCAAAATTTTAAAAGGTGGAGATTATCTCCAGCCATAGCCTAGACAAATTAAAAATAATTAAGGGCAAAAAAAACCCTTTACCATTTGGATTTAGCTGCATGGCAGAGAACCAACACGGGGTGGATTAACACTGTGGAAGTTAGTTTCCAGGACAGAAGTCTGGGCTAGGCGGTGGCCAGACAGCGGGATGTTTTATGAGACCCCAGGCTCCATCCACTTGCTGTTCCACCATCCTGGGGTGAGGCTTCCCCTCTATGCCATCACTTCTGCTCACATCTCATTGGCCAGAACTCAGTCACATGGGCAGCCTGCCTCAAAGAATGCTGGGAGTTGTAGTTTTTATCTTGGGTGGGAGGGGGCTCCATAAAAATGGGGGGCTCCCTAGGTTACCATAGCAAAAGGGGAGGATGGGTTTTGGAAGACGTTGGACTCTGCACGACATTGCTGGAGTGGAAAGGAAAGGGGACTGCGGGAAGAAGCTACCGGGGGAGAGGAGATGAGGACAGCTCCTCTGTGGCCCGTGGTGGCTGGTGCCCAGAAGCAGGTAAAGCAGGTGCACCGTCACTGACAGGGGAGACAGAGAGCCAAGGAACTGACCCATCACCTTTTATAAAATCCACAAGATAAGAAGAGGAGAAAATTAGAGACAAAAGACGAAATTCCATAAATAGCAAACAGACAAAACAGTAAAAGTATTAATAAGCCCCAAAGCTGACAATTTTTTTTTTAACAGATTTTATTTATTCATTTGTCAGAGAGAGAGAGAGAGCACACAAGCAGGGGGGAGCAGCACACAGAGGGAGAAGCAGGCTTCCCGCTGAGCAGGGAGCCCGATGCGGGGCTCGATCCCAGGACCCTGGGATCATGACCTGAGCCGAAGGCAGATGCTTCACCGACTGAGCTACCCAGGCGCCCCCAGAGCTGGTTCTTTAAAAAAATCAACAAAAGAGACAAATCTCTCATAAACCTGATTAGTAAACAAAGAAAGCACACAGAATAGTCTTAAAAATGAGAAGAGACACCCAACTGAAAAACTGGAGATTTAAACATATCTTTAAAAGAATTTTAAATGAATTCTATGGCCAGAAAATTGAAGGCCTAGAGGAAAAGAGGTGGTTTCCCAGAAAAATATAAATTCAATATATAAGATAGAAAAATGTAAATGATGAAAATTAAACCCGGAGGAAGCTGCTTCCTTGGAGAGGTCTCGTGCCCCAGGATGGATGTGGTGCTTTTGCCGAGTAGAGGGAGGGCAGTGAGCGACTGCTGACGGGAGGGGTCCTTCTGGTGGTGGGACTATTCTGGAATCAGACAGTGGTGGTGGCTGCAGGGCTCTGTGAGTCTACTAGAACCCGATGAATTATGTACTTCAAGATGCTTAAAACGGTGAATTTAATGTTATGTGAATTTTATCTCAGTTAAAAAAGAACCAGGTCAGGGAGAAGGCTTGGTGGAAAGAGCGCCCACGGCTGAGGTGTGAGTGACCCCAGGTGCTGGTCTGAGGGGACCTCAGGGCTGAGAGGACTTGCAGGCTACGGGTGAGGGCTTGTGAGTGCCCGGAGCCCCTCATCCGTCCTCAGTGGTGGGATGCTGTCACACTTGCCAGGGCTCAGCCTCCTCTCGTCTGTGGCCCCCGGGGGGCCCAGCGTCCACCCAGCTTGCCACCACACTGCACACAGTTCCTTGCAAGTCCTCAGTGCTCCGTGAGCGAGTAAGAGTGAATGATGAGTAGGGGGATGAGTGCAGCGGGCCTCTGATTTGGGTGTTGTGCAATTGACAGCCTTGTCAAGGACGAGAGTGCGTGCTGAGTGGCGGGTGGGGCAGGGGATGAGCGTGTCCCTGGCTGCCCACCGAAAGCCATGACTGTCTAGATACTTCCCTTTGTGAGAAAGCGCTTCCTTAAACGGGGCACCTGCCTTCCTTCAATTGTCCTGCGGCTGTGGCCCTTTGAGGCCACCCTGCCACGCCTCTCCCTTCCCCACCACAGCTCCCGTGGGCTCATGACGGCCCTCTCCGCTGAGCCTCTGTGGTCCTTCTTCCCCTGCGGCCCAGCCACACACGCACACAGGCAGATGACAGAAGCCGTTCGGGCCCGGCCTCCACGTCCCACCACGCATTAAACCA